CTAAGGTAAAGAAAAACACAAAAAATTAAAAATGCATTATCATGTGAGAGAAAACCTATTGTGAAAATAAGATCTGTGAGAAGCATACATTCATTCTTTTAAAAAAAAGGGGGGGCATCATGCATTTTCTAAAAAAATAAAAAATATAATAAATAAAAGGATAATAAAAAAGAAGCGGAGACGACATACCAAACCGAAAGACTCCCCCTGAGCAACAAATCCAGGAAGTTGCTCCATATAAATTTCCTCTAGCAAATCCCCATGAAGAAAGACATTTTTAACATCCAGTTGATAGAGGCCAACGGCGAAGAGCAGCCATGACTAAGAATAATCTGACAGAGGCCATCTTGGCAACGGGGGAGAAAGTGTCACCATAGTCTAATCCAAAATCTGAGTATACCCTTTGGCGACCAAACGAGCTTTGAGGCGATCAATGGTGCCATCTGGATCAACCTTGACTGTAAAGATCCATCGACAGCCAACCACAGACTTCCCAGGAGGCAAGGAAACAAGATCCCGAGTACCATTGTTCTGAAGAGCACACAGTTCATCAATCATGGCTTGTCTCCAACCAGGGTGGACTAAGACATCACCTACAATTTTAGGAATAGACAGAGGAAATAGAAGAAAGACAAGTATAATGGGAAGAGGATAACCTGTGATAACTCAAGGTAATATAATGAGGGGAAGGATTACGAGTAGAACGAGTACCTTTTCGGAGGGCAATTGGGAGGTCTAACTCAAGTGGTTGGGCCAGAGGGGATGAAGGTGGTGGCACCGGAGTAGAGTCGGTAGGGGGCCCAGTAGGAAGGTGAGAGCGTTGCCGACGATTATAAACTTGAAGGGGAGGCGGAGGTGGTGGGTCGGGTGGCACAGCAGACATAGGAGGAGTATCAAAGACAAGTGGGGGGTGAAGGGGTAAGGACAGCTGCAGAAGAAGAGGAAGTAGAAGGAAAGTAGAAAGAAGACTCGAGAAAGGTGACATCAGCTGAAATTAAATAGCGATGAAGGGAGGGTGAGAAACATTTATACCCTTTTTGAGACCTAGGATACCCTAAGAAGACACATTTGTGAGACCGAGCAGAAAGTTTATCAAGACCAGGACTGTGATTATGGACGAAACAAGTAGATCCAAAGACACAAGGAGCTAAAGGGTAGAGAGGTTGATTGGGGAACAAAATGGAGTGATGTATTTGATTGTTGAGAACAGAAGATGGCATGCGATTGATGAGATACCATGCAGTGAGAACAGCATCACCCCAAAAAGGTTGAGAAACGTGACCATGAAGTAAGAAGGTGCAAGTGGTCTCAATTAAGTGTCTATTTTTGCGCTCAGCCACTCCATTTTGTTGAGGGGTATATGCACAAGATGTTTGATGCAAAATACCATGAGAAGCCATGGTCGACTTAAGGACACAACAAATTTGAGCATCAATTTTCGACCAACGAGGACGATCTTTCTCATCAATGGAAGTAACTATCTGGGTAAGGTAAGTAACATAATCCTGTCCCTTAAGCCAAAGCTTGATATCAGAAGCCCAAGTGTTATAATTGGTTTCGTTTAACTTTGTTAGAGTAGCTTATGTAGAAAGTTTCTTCTGTTTATTAAATATTTTAATGTATTTCCTGACTTCACTCTAGCTTGATGTGATGGCTTAGGCCTCTAGACTACTCAGTTATTTTTCTTGTAATCCTTCTCTTTTTCATTCAATATAAAAGAAATAGACAGATCGGTGGATCTGGGCTTTTTGCTGCTTATTTGAATATCTAAGTAACTTGTCAATGGAAAGTGGGACATTGACATAGTTAGTAAAAATAGAGGAGTCAGGCCGAACAGTAGTAGGAGAAGCCATATATGCTGGGAGAGGAGAGAGAAACAACCACGAGAGAGAGAAAATGGCCCGAGAAGGAAGGGACCCGTGACAAACCAAGTCCGATCAAGAAACAAATTGTAGATTGGGGTAGAGGGTGTTGGGACGAGTCCGGCGCCGGTGATCGCCGCCGAAAAAGTGGTCGAACGCGCCGCCACGCGCAGCGGCCGACGGAGAGGAGAGAGAAACCGTGCAAGCACGGAGTCGGTGCGTGTGGGCACGTGCGACCTCCGTTTGCTCGCGACTGGTGGCGTTGGGTTCGTCAAAAGAAAGCTGACGGCGGCGGCGGCAGCAAAGAAAGAACGCCGTAAAATAGAGGAAAAACGGTCGGAAAGAGACACAGCGAGGTGGGTTGCCGGAAAACAGAATGAGACGTTTTGCAGGCACTGATGAACAATGGGTCCACCGGGAGGTCAAGGATTAGGCTCTAGATACCATGTTGAGAGAAATGGTAAATGGAATAAAGCATTTCCTTGTGTATTGCAAAATGAAAGATATGTTTATGTTAGAATAGTGGATTAAGTTTAACTCAACCCTACAAAACCGGCTTGTAAGGTGAGGGTTGCTTTCCACTTATATACTATTCAATTGCCTAATCTCTAGTCGATGTGGGACTTGGGTTTTTTCCAATAGTTTATATACAAAGTAGTGGGCCTAAGCCCATGTGGTCAGACTATATCTAACAAATATGATGAGAGTAAAGCAACACCAAGTTAAGAAAAATACAAAACCTGAAGAAGCCGATTCATTGGAACTGGTCTTTTTAGATCCCAAATAATTTCTGACACAGCATGCAGCTGACTAGTAGTAAGTGTATATGGAAGAACCTCAAAAACCTTCTTGGTGAGAGAGGACCACTCTTCAGTACACACAGCATTATTTTCTGGTCTTCTATACTTATCTAGCAATCCATCCTTTTCTATCTGTGTACCAAGACTTTCAAGCATTTGGAATAAGCGTCCTAACTGACAAAAGACAGTAGAGGTGAAGTAAGAAAATAATTGAACCATATAATAAAGAGAGAGGTAAATTATTACAAGAAAACATGATAGAGAGCAATCAACCACTGGTTAAAAGGTCAAACAATTAGTGTACAATGCACATGCCCAGCAAACAAATTGCCAAGTACAATTCAAAAGCATTGTAAGGTCAAGTTGTCAACTTCATCTAAATTTATACTAATCTTTGTTCCTATATATAAAACACAAATATCCAATTCATCAAAACCAATAGAAGTAGTTAAATTCATTAATTGTAATTTATAATATCATTAATTTAAATTTTATTCCATAAATATCAATAGAATTACATCGCATAGGTGGTAGTTACATTTACCGACAGTACTAGTAATTCATGAGATAATTTTTTCAACCAATTGGTGCATCTTATTTTGTTAGTAGTGTAATGAATGCACCCACTTTCATGAAAAATAACTTAATGTCTCATTAATAGACTTCATAAAACAAAGATATAAAATAAAATTAGCAAATAATACATTTGAAAGTGGGTCTATGTTTCTTATATATAGGACCAGAGGTAATATCAAATTTCAATTCTGAATTTAAAAGCCACACAATGAGCAAAACTGACTGAGCTACCGGAACCAAAATATGTTGTAGCATGTATATCATGTGCTTAATGTGTTTATTTATTTACTTTATTTGGAGAGATTTAATTTGATTTATTCCTTATTAGGATTGACAAGTCAAGCAAAGCAAGATCAAACCCGCTCAGATACCAAGTAAGAGCAGTAAATTATGATATTATTCTCATCCCCTATATTAAGGGATGTTGTAATTAATTTGATTGAAATTACAATATTATAAGCTGAGGGGTCATTTCCTCAAACGATTCAAATCAATCCAGCCTCTCATATCAGGTTATTCAAGTGTAACTTTCAAAATATTAACTAAAAGAAATGACTGCATCATATATATATTATATATATATGGGGGGATTCACTTACACCAAAAGTAAGTCTATACCTAGACTTACTTCACTCAATAACTCATATTCTACATCAAATTTAAACAACCAACCATTGAATTAAAGGTTTCTAATGCATAGATCAAGTTTGCAAATTTTGAAAAAATTTGAAAATTATTTTATACTTCATTTCATTAATTCAAATCAACGTATAAAATATTTTTATGATTATCTGTCAATTTGAACCAATAGAATAGAGTATCAAATAGTTTTCAAAATTTTTAAAACCTTACAAACTTGATCTGTACATTAAGAATCTTTAATTTAACAGTTGGACAGTTGAAATTTGATATAAAATAAGAGTTATTAAATGGAGTAAATCTAGGTAGACTTGCTCTTGGAATAAGTGGATCTCTCTCTCTCTCTCTCTCTCTCTCTCTCTCTCTCTATATATATATATATATATATATATATATATATATTGAAATCTTGTAATCAACCATAGGCTTCATAATGGTAGCAAAAATGATAGAGAGGTGTTAGCAACACACTTTCTACTGTTAGTTAAAATTTATTAGAAATTACAAAATCAGGAATGGAGCTCATTGGAAAAACAGTGGAAAATTAAAAAGATTATATTTTTGGTCACGCTGGGATTCAAACAGGGGACTGCAATGTAATAAAAAAAAAAAATTTAAATCCCCCTATCAACTTAATTATAAGCCACTTATTTTCAAATTCTGTTCTGTGAAAATATTTTGCTTATCTTTTTAAGATATCTTCATGAAAGTGTTTGGCTCAACTTCTCCTTTTATGGAGAAAATAAGCTCAAAAAGAGATGAGCCAAACACACTCCTCTATTCTCCAACTAAAACTAAGTCAACTAAAAAAAAAAAGCATGCATTGTAACACAAACTCTTGGATTTTCTCAGTGAGCATGTCCGACCAAGAGCAAGGTAAAAAGAAAAGGACTCAAAGCTGACCCTTGGTTCAGTCCTACTCCAATGATTAATGATTATAGGGAAAATTGACTTTGACCCAATTTTTTATTCTCAGTTTCACACAATAGTTGTGACCCCCTTTAACTATATGCTGATGTAAAATATAAATTAGAAGGTTGAGAATTTTTCTCCCAAGCAAATCACAAATCAATTCACAATTAGACACATTGAAATTCAGACATATTTAAGACAAAAGGACACATCTAGAGGGAGTGAGTCAAAAGATATTTAGCATTAAAATAATGGGACAGGATAAGTTAAGTACCTGTGTCAATGACATGTCACCATATAAAGCAAGTGCAAGTGTTCTTGGGATAGGAGTAGCAGACATGGCAAGAACATGTGGAGCCATATAAGCATCACTCTTTGCAGAATCATCTGTAATGGCATCCTCCATGTTTGAATTTGAAGATGCACAGTATAACTAAAAGAGAAAAGTTAGGAGACCACAACAACAACATTATTAAAAATTTCAGATAGAAAAGGGGAAAAGAGCAATCAAGGCATTATTTGCATATTGCAGGAATAAAAAATATAAGCCATATGAAAGATGCAATTTGCAGTGGCAAGTTAGACATAATTTCAACCAAAACATAACATAAAATTTGCCATAGTTATTAGTTACCTAAACTTGTCTAATCTACTCAATTGAATATCTCTTTTGAAGCCTCACAATTGATTATCAATCAGCTTTTTTAGAGTTATTCCATTGTTTAACTGACTACAAAATTTGTTATTTTAGACCATGGTAAATATCATTATGAAGCACCCACTGGAAAGGAAGCTACTAACTCAATTTAATATCTACTTGCTTTTAAGAAAAATATAATAATTGGGGACCACTTGGTATGTTAAATTCTACCTTTATTTGTTGTGTCAAATAAGTATCTGTATAACTATAACCTTTATTCAAAATATTCTAACAGTGTTGGTCTTCTGTCATTTGGATTACTCTACTTATGTGAATAATCTATAATTGTACTTAACTGCACAAATAATTCTAGGTAATTATTAATACTAAAACCAACATTTTTATATCACATATTAAGCTTCAAAATAATGTACGTACATAAACCTAGAAGTAGTCATTCCATTAGATTATGCTACATTGCTACTATAATCCTTCTTTGAAATATAGCCACACCAATACTTAATACATGTAAGGGAATCTCCATATTAGATATGCAGGGGGAATGGAATGATCTGTTGTAATTGCTTTGTTCAATGTAAACATCACATTGAACTTTGTATGTTGAAAATCAGATTTAGAGAGAACTCCTAACTGAATCTTAACTGAAAAATAACTGAATTACTACAACTGAACTCAAGAGAATTACAATGAGGATTGAGGAGTCGCCTCCTTATAGCTGAATGTCATAGAGGTTCAGTAAACTGACTGAACCAGAATAACTAATAAAGGCCGGAGAAAAAACTAACAACAAATACAGTAAAATGGCATGAGATATTATAAAATTGGTCCAAAAGGTCACATCTAGCGGCACAATCATAATATGGGCATTTATCCATGCATAATATAACCATATTTAAATCCTGAAGAAAAAGATGTGAACCACCTTACTGTTAAACCTTCCTCTTTGAATCACACCAAAGCGATGCTGCTCATCCACCACAGCAATACGTAAGGCTAAAAATTCCACACTTTCTGCTATCAAACTGTGGGTTCCTATCACCATGGAGATTTCTCCGGTCTGGATACCCTGCAATACCATAACAAATAAAATTATAAAAATACCATGCAGGTTCAAGAAAATAATAACTGCATTCACATCATTTGGACATTCCTTAATATTTAATAAAGCATACCTTACGAATCATCCGTGTTTGTTTTAGTGGAGTTGAACCAGTGAGTAAAGCAACAGTTGGCTTGCACGTGACCTCATCCATGTTTTCGAGCAACTTCAGCAAATGTTCATAATGTTGGATTGCAAGCAACTCAGTTGGAACCATGAAAGCAGCCTAATCATGAGGCACGAAAACCTAATATTAATGTAAAGAGTAAAAATATTCATATCGCTGGGGATTCACCCAGTGTCCACCCATCACATGTGGTTAACCACATGCAAAAATATAATTAACTTTGTCTCACAAGTGGTTAAAAGTAAATTAATGTGATTCTTTCCAGTTATTGGTTTATGCTTGTGGCAATTATGGTTAAATATATGTTTATAATGGATTTTTGGCTCACAGCCATAGACCTTTATCCATTATCGATAACCTTGGACACTAATGGTTATCGATAACCTTGGACACTAATGGTTAAGTATGTCTCACATGTAGTAAATAGTGTCATGAGGTTATTGAAATGTTTAATGGTGGTTAACTTTATCACACAAGTTATTAAGAACAAATGAATGTGATTTATTAAATTATCAATCTGTACTTGTGGCGCTAATAGTTACATATGCCTCACAAGTGGTTAATAGTATTTGAGGTTATTGAAGTGTCTTGTGGTTGTTCGTTGTATCATAAAAGTAATTTAACCGTCTGAATGGACGATGGGTGGTCAATTCCTAGTGGTTCGTTGATAGTTTTATTATCACCATTACCATATGCTATACATTTATGAATCTAATGAGAAGTCAAGGTAATAAAGACAAACAAAAAGTAAACAAAATATAAAGGCGACCAACCTGATAGCCAGAGCCAATAACCTCCATGCATGCAAGAAAAGCTACAACAGTTTTTCCACATCCAACATCACCCTAAAGTGTCACAAGATAACATCAGATGAGAACATGTCATGCTGCTTGTCTATTGACTACAGCACATCAATAAAAAAAAATGCTTTAGACAGAATACTACCCTTTTATGAAAAAATAGCAAGTGAAAAATAAACATTGGAGAGAACAAACCAGGAATCAAGTCAAACTTACAAGAAAATAAGCTAAGACTATGTAGAGTCCACAATTCTAGTGTGTACACTGATTTAAGAAAAGAATGAAGAAGATCACAAAATGAGCTCAAATCAAGCTTCCTTGTCATTTAATTTAATTTTTTCATTTGATCAACAAGCATTTATAGGTAAAGAAAGTAAAATGAATTAAGAGGGTAAAATAAATCAAACATCCCCCGTGAGTAAAAATGAAATTATACATAAATTGATTTTAACTTGTGGAAAAGTTAAATGAGGAACTTCTAAAAGAGTTGAGAATCATGTGTTGATTTTAACTTGTGAGAAAAGTTTGATTCATATTCATTTTACCTTAATTCATTTATTTTCTTTCTCTTGTAAGTATTTGTTAAGTTTATCAAAGCTGAGCCAAAATGGAAATAAAAAGATAATGCATTAGTTCAAAAGAAAAACATAGACTTTCCATTCTAGAAAAATCAAAGTATGCTCCCTTTATGTCCTAGTAAGGCAGATGCTTAGATTCTACTTGGTGTAGAAGTCGTCCCTTAAGGGGGATTTCACTAACTAAAGATGTTTGGGGATTGAGCTTCTATGATTCATTGATTTTCTTTTTCCCTCTTTTGTTGTATTTTCTTTCTTAGGAGAACCTTTTATCATTCAATCTCACTGTAATCTTCTACTAATTTCTTATTCATATTCTTTAATCTGAAAATACCAGTTTGTAGTTGAATCATGAAGATCATCTTGAAAGATTGGAGTTTTGACTTGGAGGTCAACGTTTCCACACCTTGAAAGTAGGTGAAAAATGTTAAATTGAATTGGCGTTTGCATGCTTGAGGAGCTTGTTTCATAATGCCTGATTTCTATAGTTAGCTTTTATAGTGATAGGAAGTACATGAAACAAAAAGGAACAAGTGAGGGGAGTACTGTATGAATATTGTTGAGAGAAATGGCAAATGGAATAAAGCATTTCCTTGTGTATTGCAAAATGAAATATATGTTTATATACAAAGTAGTGGGCCTAAGCCCATGTGGTCAGACTATATCAAACACTCCCCCTCAAGCTAGTGTATATAGATCATATGCACCAAGCTTGTTACAAATATAATCAATCCTAGGACCCCGTAATGATTTGGTGAAGACATCTGCCAACTGATTAGTAGAGTTAACAAACTGAGTAGTAATGTCCCGAGATAAAATCTTCTCACGAATGAAGTGACAATCTATTTCAATGTGTTTGGTCCTCTCGTGAAATACTAGATTTGAGGCAATATGAAGGGCAGCTTGGTTATCACATATGAGAGTCATCTGTTTAACTTCACCAAATCTCAGTTCTTTAAGCAACTATTTGAGCCAAATAAGCTCACAAGAAGCAGAGGCTATAGCACGATATTCTGCTTCTGCACTAGATCTTGCCACTACATTCTGCTTTTTACTTTTCCAGGAAATCAAGTTATCACCAATAAAGACACAATAATCTGACGTGGATCTCCTGTCAGAGGGAGAGCCTGCCCAATCTGCATCTGAGTACCCCACAACTCGAGTATGATTGTTGTAGCCATATAATAAACCTTTTCCTGGAGCACCTTTGATATTTTTTAGAATGCGGATGACTGCATTCCAATGTCCTACACATGGAGAATTGAGAAATTGACTCACCACACTAACTGCAAAGGAGATGTCAGGACGAGTTACCGTGAGATAATTCAATTTCCCAACCAATCTTCTGTACCTCTCAGGATTTGAGAAAGGCTCCCCTTAACTTGGTAGGAGTTTAGCATTGGGATCCATAGGTGTATCAATGGGCTTGGGACTCATTAGGCCAGTTTCCTCTAAAATATCCAATGCATACTTCCTTTGAGATATTACAATTCCATTTTTAGATTGTGCTACCTCAATCCCCAATAAATATCTAAGTTTACCAAGGTCTTTTGTTTGAAAGTGATGGCAAAGATGTTGTTTTATCTGAGAAATGCCATGATGGTCACTACTAGTAAGAACAATATCATCAACATACACTATCAAGTAGATGCACCTAACAGTGGAATTTCGATAAAAAACAGAATGATCAGCTTCACTTCGAGTCATACCAAATTGTTGGACTACGGTACTAAATCGACCAAACCATGCCCTTGGAGACTGCTTAAGACCATAAAGTGATTTGCGGAGACGACATACCAAACCGAAAGACTCCCCCTGAGCAACAAATCCAGGAAGTTGCTCCATATAAATTTCCTCTAGCAAATCCCCATGAAGAAAGACATTTTTAACATCCAGTTGATAGAGGCCAACGGCGAAGAGCAGCCATGACTAAGAATAATCTGACAGAGGCCATCTTGGCAACTGTATCCTCTCTATGAGAGTAACCTAAACACTCAAACCAAACCTGTCTGATTATCATATGTAAAGCCTAAAAAGGCTAAGGAAAGAATACTTGTAAAGCCTGGAGAGAGAATAATTTGATTTCCATTACGACGTGGATATCAAAATGGCACCGTTGCCGGGGACATAAGTCATTTTGTTTTGATATTTTTTATTTTTATATCATGTATACTAACTGTTTGTAGAAATGTTTTCGAAT